ACTCACACTTTCACTTCAATTTCCGACCACAAACTCGCCAATAATTACCATATTATATCTTCGGATAACGAGATGGTACTTTCACTTCACCTCACAATTTAAAAATTGGAAAAGGTAGTTCGGGTTAGGACGTCAGTCGCGTCCAATAATAACCAGCATGGGCGGATTATTCGGCACGCAGGGTCGCGAACGTGAACTTATTTGACATGTGAATGCTATACCAATGATATGTATATATTTTATTTGAATAAAGAGATTTTAAAAGTAAAGTAAGAGGAGATTGCCAAAGACAACCTTGTTTTTTATAACGGTTTTTCAGGGAACACAGACAGAAATAAATTCAGACAAAAACTTAAACGCATTTCCACTATCGACTCTAGTCATTTAACCACAACTGTCCTATAATGCTTTTAGATAATAAGGAGAGGACATCCTAAACTCAAAATTGTTAATAGACAGGCATATTCACGGCCCAGACATCGGTCATGGTCATTACATGGCCAACACAGTAGTAAATCTTCCAAACTACCGTCAGGAAGAAATCTATTGTAAATTATGATGTACTTGAATATTAAGATGTATTGTAAATATAAATGAAGACTTTTGAAATGAAATGAATAAGGAGATTGCCAGAATTTCAAAGATTAATAGCGCTAATGCGTTTATAAAAGCCAAAAATAGGATAGATCCCACAACAAACGTGAGTAAAGACACTGTTATACTAACATATCATAACACCGGGGTCAGTTGTTCCGGGCAGGGGAACCCCTGGTCGAAAAAATCCCGGAACAACCTTCAAATGACCGTCAATTGTTAGAAAACACAGTAGATACCATTCAGAACAACATTGTACAGGCAGAAGAAGTCAAAAATAATATAGAACTAACGATCGAAAACGAGGATAAAAATGACGACCAATTCTACAGCTCGGTGGAGAGTAGCGACGATGAAAATAGTATAGCTAATACAGATTTAGAAATGGATAATCAGGATACAGATATCCAGGGGGAAAAAACCAGACGAGGATCCAGCCCTCCCACATGATTTACCCACAAATAAGGAACCGCAGGACTCCAATAGTAATAAGAAAAAGTCTCACTCGGACGAATTTGTATCGGAATACGTGTCTATACCCTCGTCAGAAGGAATAAAAATTACAATCAAACAAAATGACGTCCCATTAGGGTAAAACATTATGAAATATAACAGCGGTTCAGAGTATTCGGGAGATGAAAATGGTCCCCCAGTCTTAAAACAAACCAATATTACATGTACTAAGGAGCTCACATTACCAGACGGAAGAAGGCAAATGAAAAGGGGTAGAATATTATCTAGAACCGGAGGAAAAGACATTGCCTAATAGTACGTTCCAATTTCAAAGAACTAAGAGATCCAGAGTAGATGAGGGCGACATAAACAAAATCAATGTTCTACAAAGAGGAGAGGACATGGATGTAAAAATTAACACACCTCCCAAAATTAGTGCCAACCTCAAAAGAGTACTCAAACAAAAAGTTATGGCTACGTTACAAAAACCACCAATTCCACTCAAAAACCGTTATCAGATCCTATCAGCCACATCAGAAGTAGAAGAGGATGAAAGTGAAATTGAGAAACGTAAGCAGGACCCGAGAAAAGAAAGAAGAAACAGCAGAAAATCTGTTACCGATACAACCAAAGTTACAGAGAAAAATACGGGACACAAAACAAAAAACGATCTAACATGCCGCCAATAGTGATGAACGGAGTTCCAGAAGACCATAAGGGACTAATGAGCACGTTAAAAGGTATTATTAAACGGCAATTTAACATCAAATACACCAATGCGTCGACAATAGTGTTCACCGAGGAGAAATCGGACTATGACAACTTACTGACCAATATAAAAAGTGAGAAGGTGGCATACCATACATACATTAGTAAAAGCGATAAATCGCATGCCTTTGTGCTTCGTGGACTAGGAGAGGGTACCAAAATAGATGATCTGGAAGAAGATCTAATAAACTCATATGAGATCAAAGTTAGATCAACATACAGAATGACTACCAAGAATAGACCCCTATTCATCCATCAATAACATTAGACTACTTGAACAGAAATTTCAGAGTGGTATTGTACACCAGAGTGACCTCGGAGCTACGCAGGTCGACAAAGCAGATCATACAGTGCCACAACTCCCAGGCATGGGGGCACGCGACATTCAATTGCGGCAGGCCACCAAACTGTCTCAAATGTGCAGCAAATCACCATACCAGAACATGTGTCAAGTCCAGAGACACACCAAATGTTTCAACTGTGGAGGCGACCATCCGGCCAATTTCACTAAGTGCAAAGCTTATCTAGATAGAGTTGCTAGAATTGACGACCGAAAACAATCAAACAACACTATGAGGAAGAAATATATACTTATACCTGCACCCGCTCCAAAAAGAAATATGTGGGATAGAAATAATAGAGAGGCCAAACAAAGAGACGAACACAACGAAGAATTTCCGCTTCTTCCAGGAATCAGCACACAACAAGCCACTAAGCAGCAGACAAGGCAGCAACAACAACCCAACTACCACAACAAAGAAGACATACAAGAAGGTATAGATGACGTTCTCGCCCTGAATCATGATATGCAAGAACTAAATTCATTAGTTAACATCACAAAATTAACAGGAGCGGTAAGAGATCTTAATTCAAAGCTAAGGGCATGCCGCAGCAAAGCATCCACCTTTTTAACATACAACAACTTTATGTCTAACCTCAATTCATATACCTTTAAGAATTAAATTCGCTGCGGTATACATAGACAAATACAAAATCTGTTATTACGATGTAAACGGGCTGCTCAACAAGATATATCTTGTACGCAAATTAATTTATAAACATAAATTTGACATCGTAATATTATCGGAGACAAATCTAAAACACAATCACAAAATAAAAGTGCGCGACTATGACAATTTATAGACACGATAGACCTGACATGCTTGGAGGGAGAGTAGCTTTCATTATAAAGAGTAATATACCGAATACTTTAGCCGCGAATGTAAATACCAACATTGAGCACGTAATAGTAAACTCAGGGGAGTTCACTTTTATAGGGGCTTATAATAGACCGGCTAATGTACTCGGGGTGGGGGACTTTCATAACCTAATGTCGGCAGGAAACAAGGTTGTCTTAATGGGGGACTTAAACTACAGGCACGAACTATAGATTCTAATTGCACACAGAGTAACGCGAGTGTTTTTCGATCTTTAAACTAGATTTAACCTTATTGTTTCACCTATTACTTTTTATCTTTTCATATTTAAACTCAACGGGGTGGGAAGTATGTAGGAATTTTGACAATATATGACGACATAGGCGCCGAAACTCAAAAATTGTTTTGGGTGCCCGACTCCTTTGCAGGAAATAGGAGCTCCCCTAGTCCTTCCACACCCCACTTAGGGTCACCACCAGTTTTTTAAAAGCACTTTAAAAGCCATTTTAAATCGTTGATGTTGTGAAAATTGTCTTTAAAAAAAGTATTGTCAAATGTCGAATTGCTGGAATTTGAGAATTGAAGCGGTAGATGATAATAATAATAATAATGCTCGGTGCAGCCGATACTTGAAATAAAGAATAAACTTCATTTTATAAAATAACAAAAAAGATATTTCTTTTTATAAAATTAAAATAAATACATGCTCAAATGTGCAGCAAATCACCATACCAGAACATGTGTCAAGTCCAGAGACACACCAAATGTTTCAACTGTGGAGGCGACCATCCGGCCAATTTCACTAGGTAAGTGCAAAGCTTATCTAGATAGAGTTGCTAGAATGGACGACCGAAAAGAATCAAACAACACGATGAGGACGAAATATATACTTATACCTGCACCCGCTCCAAAAAGAAATATATGGGATAGAAATAATAGAGAAAATTTGTACATTACATATATAATAAGTCAACTTACATCTCTTCTATGCTATAAAGTGAATATAATAATAAAGTGATTTTATTTTATATTATGCATTTATTTTGATAATGATAAATAAAACGTTTTGCGTCTTTGGCTGTTTTTAATAATGAACATATAGATCGTTCGGAAGAAAAGAGTTACAACTCAAAAAATAAATTTTTACAGGAGAAGCATTTTTAGATTTTTATAGTAGATAATTGCTTTGTATGTAATCATGAAAAAACTTGAATGCAAACTGTTATTCCAAGAATTTGCACTAAACCAGTCTTAATTAAAGGTATATCTTGTTTTTTTTATGTGACATGATTTTTTTTCATAAAAAAAAAGATGTAACTCTCTTTAATTAAAAGTAAGGTTATTTTTCAGAATTGTAACAATAGCAATAAGTGTCGGCTAACTCCTAAACAAACGACTGTGATAGTTCTATAAAGCTTTTTTGAAGTTCATTCTTGCGTATTGTAGTGGAAAAAATTATTCATTAAGAAGAAAAAATACAGACAGGTCAAAAAATTACAGATGTAACCATTTTGACTGAAAATTATGGGCAAACTAAAAAAATCCTTATTAATTTCTTACAATAAAGGGAAAATAAATTGAAATTATTGCTGTTTCTTGATTGCTAAGGTCGATAAATAAAACCCATTCAATTTTATTATGAAACCGTTTAATTTAACACAAGACGTTTCATCAATTAGAACTTTGAGAAAATAAATAAAAAAATTTCTGCAAACTTAATTATACCTTTAGGAGAAACAAACTTAAATCTTCGTCAAGAAATAATAACGTTAGGTTAAAAAGTTATAAATTTTTAAAAAAGTCTAAATAATACATTGGAACACACTTTTTCTTCTCAACTAAAGACAACAAGCCATTCTTTTTCGCCTCTGTTATTCCTGGTTTTTTGACATAGGCCTTGTTTAAATCAATTTGGTAAATGTCAATATTTTTTCTTTTACTTATAATTTCAGCCTGGCCAAATTCTGGTTGTTCAAAGGAAGTTTTATAGAACAAAGTATTGGGATACGCTTTTTCTATTTTTATTACCCTTGTTTCCGATAATTTAACATTCTTAGGAATATTGAGGAACAGATCCGAAGTTAACTTCTTTAAATCGAAAATATCTTTAAAACATAGTTCGTTCACTTTGTAAGGAGATCCTGTTTTTTTTGCTGATCTGATTATACTTGCATAATGATCGGGAATGTAAATTGGACTTGATCTTTTGTACTTCTTTACTGCTTTTTCTATTGTTGCATGCATACTATCACCTTCGTTTTGGCTGTGACCGGTTATAAAATATTTGTGCGTGATAGAAGTTATGTTTAAGTTAAAAACAACATACAAATAAAGTGCTATCAAAAATCTGTTTTTATTTTGACCAGCACAATTATCTGAAAAGAATATAATGTCTAAATCGCCCTCCCGATTTAGATCACTTATGTTTTCTAGATATTTATAAATGCAAGTACCTATTTCATTTGCACCTCTTTGTGCTTCAGCTTCGTGCCATAAAAAACAGGTTCCGTGATGACTTTTGATGTCATATAAAGTGAAGTTCAACACATTTAACTTCGAGACATAAAAGAAAGATGAAGCATCTCCAACTGGACACGGAAGAACCGCCTGAAGATCAAAAACGATTACTTCAGCTCCACTATTAATGTCATGTTCTTTTTCTTTGCGACTTAAGTCTTTTTCTTTGATGTGCGATTCATACTTCTCTATTAACGATACTTTTTCCTCTTCAGTACGATTTTTAAATTGCAAACGGAGCTCGTACTGATCCTTTTTCGGAACATGGAAGGCTATGTTAAATTCTTCTTCAAAAATTTTTCTATACATTTGATAATTGGCAGCAGGTGACTTTTTCTCTTCACATATTTTTAAATAGTCACGATGCAAGTCTGAAAGGGTTTTACTTCCCTCAATATATTCTTTTGACGTAGTTGCTCTGCAATAGTGACTATCTATTCGTGGTATCGATTTAATGTGCTCCCTAATTTCATTTTTTATTGCCTGATCCACCTGATAATGATTATTGTGTTTGCCTCGCTTATCAACTTCGACAATTTTGCCACTTTCACAAACCTTCTGCTTTTTTATAATGGTCTGAATGACTCTGTTGTTGATAGACAAAGTTGCCATAAAAAAAATCTTACAAACACGTACATTTTTGTCATCTACAATAAAGTATTAGGCATTGTTAGGCTTTCTGGGAGAAGCAACATTACTATACTTGTATCTAGGATTGACTGTTTGCATATTCGATGAAATATACTGTCTTTGTTTCTCTAGATCTTACAGGCCCCAGTATTCCTTGAAAATTTTCAACCTTATCTCATTAGTAATTTTTTCGGAACATTTTAATTTGCAATTTTACCCACATGGAGGTTGTAGCTCTTTTTGAGGACGTTGTGTTTTTACTTTTTTCTTGGTGCCGCCATCATTTTGAGTACTTAAACCAATGTAACTCTCGCCACTATTCCTTAATCTCTTGTTGAAATTTTTTTGCCACGCTTGAGGATTTCTACTTCTTTTTTTAACCTTTTTTTCTGTGAAAGACTTATCTACTACCTTTCTTTTTTTTGGAATAATATTTTCTTTTTCTTCTGGTAATACTAATACTTCATCGTCCGATGATGATTCATCAGATGAAGACTCATGATAGGGCGGATCCTTAATGCTGTCATCAGAGCCAAATGGTTCTGCTTCAGAATCTGATGTGCTACTCAGTGAACAACTGGACTTACTGCAAGTCTTTGATGTGGATGAAGAATCATTACTAGATGAAGATGCTGAGCCTATTTCACTTCTCTTGGATAATGAAACATTATTTACCATGTTATCTAAAAAATTGAATTATTTAAAAGAACTAAAGTAAATAATAAACCTAAATTACTCATTATTATAGTTTCTTCCGCACCAAGCAACTCATCATTAGGTTCTTTTTCCTCTTTTGAACTTTTTGAACTGTTTGATATTTTTGTTTTAGCTGCTGATGCTTTTATAACGCATTCAGGCATGGCAATGTGCACATTAATTTGGGATAGATCGAGAGATTCATTTTGTTCGTTATTCGCTAAAATGTAATGCAAAATTACTTTCCAAATTATTATCGACAAATTAACAACAGGTGCAAGAAAATGAAGTACATCTTTTTAGCCCCTTCTTTACATGAATAGCACTTTAAACTGTAACAACAGCATTTAATAGACAATTTACAATTACAAAATAGAAGTGCAAAAAAATAAAATAAAAATTCACCCTAAAACTTAGATTTACCTGAAGCTGCATTCTCTTTTGCATCAGGCACCTCTTCATGATTAGGGTTTTCTTCATCTAGGTTTGTTGTGTTGGCCATTTTACAATTAGAAAATATTTTCAACGTCCGCTTCTTGTAAGACATCATCGGGTGTGTGTGTCACTTTTAGTAATAACTATACTAAAAAATTTGATTAGTTTTAATAAAACCGTTATACGTTATAATAAAACACTAAAAGTACTGAATACAAGCCAAGAAAGAAGATACATTTCAAAATATAACACACCATAGACAAATTAGGTTAAAAATTTGGTTCAAAAGCATTATAAAGCAAAATATAGCATCTTCTTCTAATAGTTTATGAACTGTTTGCTTCCTATTATACAAGAATATGGTTACAAAATTTATTGTTTCGTTATTCTTTCAAAAGATAAGTACAATTCAAATTTCATTTTAAAAGAAAAGCGTTGCATTTTGGGATGTATCTGTTTTCTTGCAAATTACATACGTACCTTTAAATAAAAAATGCACTAAACCGAAATGTAACCTTTTTGAAACAACTTTTCGACATGGTCTGCGGAACAGTTCTAGACAAACTAAAATGTCCCAACAGAATTCCTAAAAAACCGCGTGTTACATGCTGTCATCTATCGGCTACTGATCGAGTTTCACATTAAACTCTTTTCCAACAAAAAGTAGGCGTCTGCTTTAGTGGTAATATAGAAATAACTGAAAAATCGTTTTTTTTTGAGATGTAACCCTTTTCTTCCCAACGATCGAATTAGCAACTTCATTATTATTAATGTTTCTAGCACACTCTTTATAAAAGTTTAAAATAACACAATTGTTTAGCCTCGACTGCGACATCGTTGTTCTTAAATAGTTTTTTAAACGACGTAATCCCGAAAAAGTTCTTTCCGAAGTACAGGACGTTGTCGGAATTGTAAGAAATAGTTTCAAAACTTTGCTATATTCTGAGAATAACTCTTTGAGGTGACTATTTTTGTTTAAATATATAACTATTTCTGACACACATTTAAAATTCTGTTCTTTTGTGACATCAAAGAACATTTTTTTATGTAAGGTTAACTTATCAAGATCAAAATTTTCTGAATAATATTTTTGGATTACATTGTTATCGAGATTGATAACTTCTTTCTCTAATAAAAAAACTTTCTAAGTCTACTATTCTATTTATGCTTTCTGATTCAAAACGGACCTTAATGCTTTTAATGCACGTGTAATAATAATAAATAATAAAAAAATATTTATTTTTCAATAAACATGAATACAAACAAGTAAAGAAAAAATATACGTACAAGAAAAATAAATATAAAGTTGTCGATAAGCGAACAAACGCTTGTTTCGACTGGTAAGTAAAGTTAAAAATAACATAAATGTAGTATAAAGTATACTATTATATTTTTTGAAATGTACTACTAATTATATAATAAAATTAATAGAAATAATTAAATCTTCTTCAAACAAAAATGTTTTTAGAGATGACTTAAAATGATAGACATTTCTTATAGATTGAACGTTTTCAGGAATTATATTATAGAATTTTGGAGCTTGATATATATATGATTGTTGACCAATTGATTTTTGCATTTTCGGTATTAAGTGAAGCCGTTTGCGTGTATTATATGAATGGTTTCGTATGTGAAATATTTGTTTAGTATGATAATTCATAACAACTTTAAAAAAATACAATTGACGTATATTAAATACTTTAGCTTCTTTAAATAATAAACTTGTAGGGTATGTTCTTTCTTTCTATAAAATAATTTTCAAAAACCTTTTCTGAAGAATTTCTAGTGAATGCATGTGTGTGTTCAATGCAGCACCCCATCCTAGTGACCCATATCTAATGTGACTTTCGACCAGAGCTTGATATAGTATTTTTAATTGTGGGTACGTGAGTAAATTTGTTAAGTATCGAAATCGAGATAACATCGATCTTAATTTTTTACAGATATACTGGATGTGGATGTCCCATTTCATGAAATTGTCTAGGTAAACTCCAAGGTACTTCGTGCTTGTGGCTACTTTTATAATGAAATGCTGATTGTTGCTCGAGAAATTTAACATATTAAAATTTGGTTCTGAGGATAAGTTACAATAAAAAGGTATGTAGAATGTCTTGTCCATATTTAATGTAAGTAGTCTATGATTTAGCCAAGCTTTGATGTCAAGGAAGTCTAATTCTACTTTTGTTTTCAGGTTCTGCCATGTATCTGCGGTGTAAAAAATGACTGTATCATCAGCAAACCCTATTATATCTCCTTGAGATTTGATGGAGAATAGTCCATTTACATAAATGTTAAATAGAGTGGGTCCCAAGACGGTACCTTGAGGCACACCGTATTTTATTTCCCCATTTTCACTATAAGTATCTAAGTGTCTTACATTTTGTGTCCTTTCTGATAGATAACTTTTAAATAGTTGCAGTGAATTGTTCCTTATTCCATTTTCCTCCAAGGTTTCAAGCAGTAAGCTATGGCTAACTGTGTCGAAGGCTTTCGAAAGGTCCAAAAAAACACATAAACATGGTTTACTGTTGTCAAGAGCAAGGTGTATTTTATTTGTAATTTCGACTATTGCGTCCTCCGTAGACTTATGCTTTCTAAATCCATACTGATTTGGTGAAAGTAATTTGTATTTTTGAATAAATGAGTTGACGCGCTTTTCTATTATCTTTTCGAAGACCTTTGACAAGCTAGTTATTAAGGAAATTGGGCGGTAATTGGAAGAACAACTTGCATCTCCTTTTTTAAAAATAGGTACAACTATGTTTTTTTTTAAACGATGTGGGCCAAGTACCAGAATCTATACACCTATTAAATATATGTGTTAATGGCTTTTCAATATATTTGGATGTTTTCTTTAATACCTCGGGTCTAATGTTATCAAATCCAGGAGCTTTTCTAAGTTTTAATTTTGCAATTGTGTCCTTCACCTCGTATTCGTCTGTGTGAAGCAATACAAAACTATTAGTTAAAGCATGTTTTGGTGGTCGATATAAAGGATCAGGCTGTATATTATTTGCTAGCCTTTCACCTACTTTTATAAATGAATCATTTAGATAATTGGCTATGTTCTTCGGATTTGTTATTCTTTTTCCATTTTCGTCTTCTAGGTAGTCTATACTTTTGTGTTTTCTTTTAGTGTTACCTATTTCATTTACAATTTTCCAAAGTTGTGTAGCATTAGATTGATTATTATTAATCTGCGACTGATAATAGTCAAATTTGCATTTCCTTATTAGGTGATTTACAAGATTTCTTTGTACATTATATCTTTGTTTTAGGATGAGATAATTAGGGTTATCCTTGGATTGTTTAAATAGTTTATTTTTTTTATTAACAGATTTTATAAGACCGTTTGTTATCCATGGTGTAATTTTTGTGTCTCTTCTCTTGCATGTTTTATATGTCGTGCTGTCTTGTAGTGCTTTGTTTAAAATGTTAATCAATGCATCTGTTTCAGAGTCCACACTAGAAGTGTTGTAAATAGATTCCCAAGGGATTTTATCAAGTGCTTCGTATAGTTTGTCATATTTGATGTAGTCCTTCTGTACCGGACGTTGTGCTTGAGAAGGAGTGAGTTTATGGACAATTTGTAAGGCGGTGGAATAATGATCGGTAATATTTGTCTTTATAATTAATGGCAATATTTGATCTGCTATTGTTGTCATTTTAGACCTTATAAAAATATGATCAAGACATGTTTTTGTATTGCCCTGTACCCTCGTTGGACTATTTATTAGAGATGTATAATCATATTCATTCATAATATTAAGATATTCATTAACATGATGGTCATCTGCTAGTAAGTCAATATTAATATCGCCCAAGAAAATATTAACGAGATCATTATTTTTATCGTTATCTTGTAGATATTCCTGCAGACAATGACGGCGATCTATAATAAGCTGTGATTTTATAGTTTGTGTTTTTAGAAAATTTTATAGTTACCCGAATCGAATTACTGTATCCAAGTTTTAAAATCTGATAATCGTAGTTATAAATTGATTTAATGAATATAACCACACCATCATTTTGGTTTACGTTACTAGCATTGTATATAGTATTGTAACCAGTAATATTGTATAAGTCAATATTGTCAATTATTCTTGTTTCTGTGAAAACAACAGTCAATATCACTATCCAAGTTATTCAGAAAAGTTTTATATTCGTCCAAGTTTTTATTCAAACTACGAATGTTGTTATGAATTATTTTAAAATTATTAAATTTGTTTGTTTTTAATATATTTTTGAGCTCATTTACCCCTTCCAAAGTATAATCCTGAATACATTCGAGTTTAAATTTTTTAGATATGGATCCATTATAGTAGTTAAGTAAATAAAATAGATTTAAAATAATTATACAAACGTAGATGGCGTTAAAAATATTTCACTTAACACATTTATAAAAACTCTATAATCAATAGTAAATACCTTACGAACTAACTATAACAAATTAAAATATGGGTCACTAAATTTAAGAGACTATACTAGAACAAACTATGACAAAGCGATTAAAAAATTTATAAAAATAGTACATAACAATCTATATTAAAATACCCAGCTAAAATTTGACATCAATATTTTGTTTCTATTGTTTTGTGCGAGAACTTATTCTGGTTCTGTAGTGGTTTGATTTGGGCTTTGGGTTCGGTGTAGAATCTTTTTTATGATTATCTAGCTGGTCATTTGCAACCGGAATATGTTTTGGAATTATTTCTTCCTTTTGATTATCTGGAGTTTTTTCTTGATCTTTTAGTGAAATTTCAGGGACTGGTGTACCGGGATCGCTGCTTGGTTTAATACTGTTTTCAAAAATGTCTTCTTTTTTCTCTAGTTCCTATACGCTGAAGCCGGCTCCGTTTAGTTTATAAAAAGTTTGTCGTTTTTAATATAGCATGTACCACCTTGACTATTTTTTGTATCTATTAAATGTTGTCTCAGAATTTTGTTGTTCTCCCTCTGAGTAGTGGTGAGATCATGGGAAATTCCAATTTTTGTCCCTTTCAATTTCAAAGTATAAAGGTATGTACATATCTTTAGGAGTGTTGGGAAAATACTGACTTTCAGAGCTACCCAGTTTTAACGGCATTTTTCTTCTTCTAGGCAAACAGGGTTCCTCAACATTATATCTTTCTTTCTCATTGGATATAGATTCCCATACTATTTCAAAATTGTTTCGTTGTTCTTCAAGTATTTTGACAAGACAATTAATTTTTTTTATAACTTCTGCTACATTGGTATTTAATTTTTGTATGTTAGAATTAACCACTTCAATTTGATCAAAAATATGTATCAAAATTTTTAGTAAGAAAAAAAATTCAAAAGATTCTAGTTTATCCAAAAAACCACTTGCTTTTGCTCCAGCCTCAGATTTTTCTGTACAAGCCTGCTTTTCCATAAACTGAGTAATTTCTTTATAGTTCTCAAGGAGCGATTTTAGTGACACAACTCTAAGACACCATCTTGTAGGACAAAATGGTCTCAGAGATGTTGATCCAGCGTCTTCAGTATTCGTCTTAATGTTATTAAAAATTTCTATCCGCTTTGCCGAATCTCTTATATAATTTAAAATATTTTTCGCAAATGCTAAAAAGTCTCTTACTCTATTTATCCCGTTAAAAAATTCTTTTTTGAAGGCCTGTAAGCACCCCACTTACATTTGCAGCTCCGTCGTAGCACTGACCTCTTAACAAATTAATATCAAGTTCGCATTTCAAGAATACGTCTTTAAGTACTTTATACAGAGTATTTGCATTGGTGAATGGTGTTTCATATAGCCCTAAAAAATATTCTTCAATTTCAAAGTCGTCGTTTACAACTCTAAAACAAATTGACAACTGCTCTTTGCTAGACAAGTCAGTTGTCTCATCCGCTATAATAGCAAAGATGTTTTTTTTTTAATTTTATTAAGTACTTTATCGCGTATGCTGTCAGTCAGTTTTTGCAGCAGTTCATTAATAATTTCATGCGATATCCACTTATGCCCACTACTCTCTAACCAAGTTTTAAGCTCAGCACAGTCTTCAGCTCGCATGCGTAAAGTTTGTATGAAGTTTGAATCTTCTTCAGTGTGACCACGCAATGCAAGCCCTTGGATGGCAAGAAATTTTACAGAGCTAATAATTTTAAGTAGAGCAGTTCTTGCTGTTTTCATTTCATTAAGTTTTGACTGGGAAAGCGCTGTTAACACGTTGGTTCCATGATCAGCTGCTGATAATGCATAACAAGCTTGGCGATGCATATCGGTCTTTTCGTGAGATTTAAATCTCTCAAAAGCCTTGTTCCAATTGTCAAATCCCACCTTCACAAATGCTTCAAATGATGTTTTAGAATCCTAGGCTAACTTTGTAATATTTTGATTCATGTAGGCATTTTGACATACCTCACAGAATGCTTTTGAAACATTTTCTTTGTAGAGACTTAAAATTATCTTTCCACTTTACTTGAAAAGAATGACCCCGCTTTTTGGATAATTTAAGATTTAATTGGTCTTGGTCAGTTTGAGCGGTGACTGTGACAGTAGTATTAGACGTTAAAGCTGCTGCATCAGATGTAACAGATATCGAATATTTAAACTTACCCGACGCCGACACCGAGTCTGTGTCTTTTGTTTTTAAACGAATGACAAAATTATCCATGTCACCTTCCTAATTGTTAAGAATCTAGAAATATGAAATAAGAATACGCATATACATAACTTTTATGTATGCGCAATACATACCTTTCCTTTGAGAATAAACAAATTAATTTAACATTTGAAACTAACAACACCGACAATATATTATTATGCAAATGCAATTGAAGTTTTTTCTTGAACTTAAACGAAAACCTGTCAAATATCTCTGACTAGTCGTTACGAGTTGCAACTAAGAACTAATCTAGAAAAAGAAATTCAGTATTCCTAATTTCTATTTTCTATTACTTGTCCACTTGTCCTCGTTGCGTATCGTACTAGGCAATCCCACCATTCCTCCGTCAGGCCGGCCAAGCTCAGGGATGGTAAACGAAAAGGATGTTCGATGCTGTTTAAACAATGTGAACGTTGTGTCATGCATTATTTTAAACATTATTGCTAACTTTATTTTGTTGCAAGTGCAATATGGAGATAATTATAATCATGTTATGTGATACATTCAATTAGTTATTAAATTGGCTTTCAAATAAGGTGCCATACTTTATAATTCGTTACAGTTTTTTTTATCCCGAATTAAAAGTATCGCAATAAACAGTCATATTTACGAATTCTCCATAAAATTACCCTTTCAATGATGTGCTGTACATGGTACATTCTCTATTTAAAATTAAGGCGTTGGAGAAGTGGAAGGTAGGGGGTAGACATAACACAAATGTATGTATTGTAAAATATGTTCAATTTGGAATAAAAAATCGACCTGTTGTAGCATTTTGTATATATCTCTCTGTATATCAAAAATGGCTAGATTTATCGAATTGTTCCATGAAACAAAATCTGCTAAAAATACATTTTTTACAAGATGTGCTATATAAGAAAGATTCAACCCATCGAAAAAAAAAAAAAAAATAAATTTTAAATTATTTAATATCTAAAATTAAAGCTCTTACTGTGCTCTGTGAACTGACTTTTACATAATTAAAATACCTCTATTTCTTGCCAAAATATCCGGACTGGAAGTTTTTATTGGTACACCCTGTATAGTGGTTTCTTTTATGTCATCTCGGTTATACGCAAGCACTACTAGAGAGCTCTGTTTCTGATTTTAAATGAAGATCCTTTTATAACGGTGCTTGAGGATCTGGAGCAACTTCCACATGTTTTCCCTTCTCCCCTCAAGCATATGATCAATAGCATATTATGTACAGAGCTCTTGTTTTGCTAATTGTTGACCGTTATTAGTCATTCTTTTTTCTCGCTATAGGGTTTCATACACCAAAAGAATAATAAACTCTAGAAAGCTTTAATATGTTGCATTAGCATTAGGATTAGCGCAACGTGCAACGTCACAGCTCACAAAACTGATGCCTCATAATAGAGACATCCTGTTGCTCGACCAACTTGGGCCACGGCAGCTTCCTCATTTCACTTATTAGTCATTTTTGTCCACGTTGTGCTGTGGGTTCTCCGCACCCCGCTTCAAACTGCTCTGCCGAGCCCCGAGGATTCGGCGCCTATGTATGACGACACATTTCTAATGAGCAACTCGGGTATCCCGTTTCGCAACATTCGCGTGTCACAATCATTTTGGGACGTAGGAATACGGTCGCTAGGCAAGTTGTTGTTTTTTGGGCAGAAGTCAACGGAAAAAGTCAGTTATTCTTGTAATCTCAATTTTTTATATAAGAAACCTGTATTAGAATAGAATAGTTGTAAAAGAATGTTAATGTGTTCCTGTTCATGGTAAATTTTACGAATACAAAAGTTTGCAGTTTTTTATTGACGCAGTTAGTGTTAAATCAAAAGATACTAGCTGTGGCCAGTCTCAGAACTGGCACTCGTGATGAGGATGTAGCCAGCAGCATCATCCCCATTCAATGTTTAAAATACCTATTTACCAAACATATGTTTGCTTTGTCCAATTCCATTGCATTTTGCGTTCCAACAAGGACAAGTCGCTGATTAAACAACGGACGAATAAACGGCCTGACATGCGCAGTGATTAGTTTACGAATGCATCCATGCACGAGTCAGAGGACACATCAAAAAAGGAGCTGTTGGAACAAACCTATAGTTTTGCGAGTTAAACTGGCAATTTGAGTTCTATTGGAGACGATTTTATCCTCGTATAGGAAAAAGTTATCATTAATTATAGTTTTAATATGTTTTTACCTAACAATAAGACGAATCTGGCATCTACATTGCCTTCGGTTCCGAAAAATATTTCCGTAAGTTCTTTGACATCGCAAATTCTGCATAATGGTGGACACGGATCTCCGCAAAATCCGACGCACGGATGTCCGCATTTATTTATACTTTTAGGACACTGCTCGGTACAGGGCTCCACCGAGCACAAGTCTCCACAACGGTTTTCACAGCTTTGATGAGGACACCATCTCGGACATTTCTTCCTACAACTGAATAAAAATCCAACTTTTTTACTGTCACTAATCAATGAATTAATTGTTATTAGATATGTGGTACCATTAATTTGGCAGGAAAAAATAGTTTAAATATAGGCATAAAACATGGGAAACATTTAGAACTTTATTAAATTGAAAGTCGTTATAAAGCAATGACTTTTATCTAAAAGTTCTAAAAACAAAATAAACATACAATAGGTACTTACCAAGCGCACGGATCGCCACACTTTTTTTTACATTTGCCATGCACACAACTGTACTCGCATGGTTTCCTGCAAGGCTGGCAGTACTCGCTGCAAGGTATCGGACATTCATGGTTACACACTAGAATACCATTGCAATTTTCTTGGCACCTTTGGTGGAACCGGCCCTGGTAACATTCGACGCAGCTACCGGAACATTTATGTGTGCATATCAACTGAGCGTTACAAGGTTCCGTGCAATTTTGGGCGAAAATGTTGTCGTCAGCTAGAAATAAATTAACTTAGCATAATTATCTAATACGAGAAAACAAATGGAATTTCTGAATTTCTAAAAAAATCTCTGGTTTCTGTGCGAGACAGGTAGCAGCGGTATGTTTACTGTTTAATACCAAAGTCCATAAAAAAAACATGTCTAGTTCAAGTGATGGGGAAGAATTCTCCGGATTTATAGATGTAGATCAAGATATTTCCACGTCAACGAAAAGAAAATGCAACGAGTTGCTAACGAATTTACAGCAATTGAATGAAAAATCGCTAGACGAATTTATCGGAATCTCTAAAAAAAGGCTAATAGATAAGAACGGAAAATCGAGTGACACCTCCAAAAAACCAGTTAAAGATAACGAAGGATATTTCATAGTTTCTTATAAAAAAAACAAAAAGCAAATCCAAAACCAAAATAATAATATTCCATCAAATACAAATACAGGGAGATCCATAAATTTCTCACCACACATGAAACAGTTCCAACAAAACCAATTTAATAATATGTTCTATATTAACACCAATAATACCATTATTAATAGAATCCAAATGGCTGATTTGTGGGAAAAAAACAAGATAAAATAATGGTGATATAAAGACAAAAAATGATCATACAAAAGCGATATTAGAAAATGCACTAAAGATCTTAAAAAATAACAATAAAATTATGGAATATAGCGCAACAATACCCTACAACCAAGCTTCAAGAGATAACAAAATTCCAGCGACTTAAGTCTACTCTTGTGTTATTGCCTCTTTCGAAATATCGGACGAAGAAATCTCACAAAAAACGAATCATCTCAAAAAAACAGACACTCCAACAAACTTCATAAGAATTATCACAAAAAAAATAAAATTTTACAAAAAACTTCTCTCTGAAGGATTACATTACAAATCCCGCCATTATGCTGTCTATACGAGCTCTCCGCCGTTCCCAGCCACAATGCCTTACAATAAGTATTTGAAGTTTTCCCACCCAATAGAAAACTGCACAGAAACAACAAAATACAACAAATGTTCTGAAGCGCATTCCACGAACAAGTGTCCAACCACGGTACCCCCAAAATGCAGTGGATGTGACTCAGAAAATCATCAAGCTTGGTTATTTAAATGTCCTAAAAGACCAACAAAACTAACTTACCAGTAAAAACATTAAATAAAAAATCTGACCAAATTAAGGACAATATGAAAATGAACAGAATCCACTAACAATTAATAGAAAGACTACGAAAAAGATTCATGACGGAATACAGAATATAACATTTGTTGGAACAACTGGATTTACATCTTGATGTTTGACATGGAACTAGATAACTTCGAATCTCCCACTGAAACTATTGCAAGATCGCAAGTAGCTCACATTCAACAACGAAATTAAAATATTATACACTAATATAAACAATTACTTCCAAAAGAAATATTTAGTGAACTATCCGATAGAAAGGAAGTTAATAGACTGTGCCCCATTTGTAGAAACTAAAACCAATGCGGAAACCAACACCAACTATAGAAATTGGGATGTAGTAAGACACGGCGGAAATATTCTAAACCAAAATATAAGAGGAGGATCACCAACTAATTTCAAACAACACTAATATTACTACCAATGAAGTCAATACCTTTCACACAAAGGTCTCCGAGATTATCACAAACAATACACCAAAAACTGCAAACAAATATTTTACTCATAAACTTCCTAGATACATCGTGACACTCATCAAAACAAAACCTAAAATGCTCAAAGAATACAGGCAAAACCCTAGTCGAGAAGTCAAAACAAACATCAACAACTTTAACAAAGATATTCAAAAATTAGTAAAACAAATTCAGCAACACACATGGCTACAGACCTGCCAAGAAATCAATCAAGAACAGGGAAGAAACTTCTATCATAAAATAAATGAACTGTCAAAATATAAAACAAGGAGTAAAATTCCAAATATCTCAGACAATGGTAGAGACTATGCCACAGATGAAGAAAAGGACGATGCATTCAAGAAGAACTTCATTAAAACATATAACGGAACGAAAGATCCATCTTTTGAACAAGAAAACTGGAATAATGTAAACTCATGGTGCAAAAAATATTTTAGAAACAACCCAATCAATGAGGAAGATAACACAGAATTCGACGATGAAAAATACTTTCAAATACTATCCAATCAGAAAAACTTCGCTCCAGGATCGGACATGACCCCACGGCAAATTGTGAAAAAACTAGAATATACATATCTATAGGTATTATAAAACGCTGTTGCTAGGTACACGCTAAAGTTTACGCAAATCAAAAAATTACATACACGTGAAACCTCATATTGCTGTGGTGGGAGGTGTTTGTGTGAATGCGTCTTGTTTGTTTTCATTTACGCCGTGACT